TGCTCCGCCGTCCTCCCCCGCGCTGCGTTCTCCCAGTTCTAGGGAAACTCTGTAAACCACAGTTTACAAGAAAGCTTGTTTTTAGAAGAAAACTAAACACGCACCCCCCCAACACAAGGTCTTAATTTTTCTGGAATATTGCATGTGATTCTAGCCATCGCATTTGAAGAATTAAAAGATACCTGGTGGGGGACACAGGCGTTGCTGATGATGCAGGGAAGAGCAAGCCTCGAGGCCCAGGCAGAAAAAAAGCGTAAGAACCATTTTACCTGAAGTACCACACCGGAAACAGCGCCGTCGGGACGCCCTCCCAACAGAGCTCTGTGGAAACCGGTGCGAGGGGCGAGGCTCCCGGGAGCGACGTGCGCACCCCCCGCCCAGCACGGAACCCTGCGCAGGTGTGCCCTCATGGTGCAGCCTGAATTGGCTTCTGACCTCCGGTACGGAAACGAGAAGGCCCATCGGAGGGACTGCTACCTTAACTTCTTGTCTGGGAAAGCCAGAGTACAGACATGCTTCCTCTGAAATGACGGGGGGGTTCCGTACCTCACAATTCCAGGAAATCCCTCCCTGACGAACGGTTTTATTACAGCTCTTAGGTAACAATACGCGGGAGCAGCAATCTGCACAGAGCTTGGAAGGAAAGAGAGGTACCTTCCAAGATGTGAGTCGGCATCATTAGGAACAAACTGAATGACCTTTATAAACAAACACATTCAGTGTTTCTGCCAAAGAAACTTGATTAATATTCCTGAGTAAATACACCATGAATTAACAAACACATTTCTCAAAACAGGGTCAGAAGCTAATACACTTCGCATTTCTATTTGGTGGAGGTTCCAGAGCTTTTTCATGTAAATGCAAGGTATTGTTAGAAGCATTCTAGCAATTAATTAGAATAAATTATGTAAGGGAATGATTCAAGGAAGAGTATTAAAATTAATTAATAGTAACAGTTGCATTGGATCTCAAATCACCCATGTCATGTACCATGACAGTAAAGACCAGATATAAATACCCGCCTAGGATGTTTAGGTTTCATGGCTTGTTCCTAAGAAAAAAGACAGGTATTTTCTTTATGCAGAATTTAAGAAACTTCTGGAATAAGGGATCAGACTGAAAACGATGCACTATTTAAGTCCCCAAAACAGAACTTAACAGCTAAATGGAGTTGGTGCTAACTCTTCTGCTTAGAGGTAACTGTATGAAACAAATTGTAAAAAAACATTTGTGTTAGTGAATTATGAATTACAAGGTGCCACTAAAAGAAACAAGTAATGGTGGCACCGGGGAGCATGTTGTAAGCATTATGAGTAAAACTGTAACCATTGCTAACGGCCATAACAACTACTAATACACTGAAACATCATGGTAAAATAACCCATTTCATTTGCTAAGTGCTAATAATTTAATTCAAAATGTATGCTTTTTCCACAGAATAGTATGTCTGTACCTTTATTCCAAGCAGTGTTACACAGTTCCCTGGGAAGCACATACTAAAATCCTCCAAAGAAAAAAAGGAAACAATGCAATAAACCAATATGCATCCAAACTCTTTAAGCTCATTTATATTTGTTTTTCACGTACAAGGTCAAAGAAATAAAAAAAAACAGAATCAAACCCTGGATACAACAGTTTGATCTGATTGCTTTTGATACATACAATCTGTTGCAAGGTACTTGAAATTAAAAACAAATGCTCACACATCATATAACAAAATTAAAAAAAGTAAATAAAAAAGTTAAAGTAGTAGCATGTACATGATGTAGTATATTAGGAAACAAGTTTATTTGAACGTCCATGTTTTTCTGTATTTAAAATAGAAATTTTAATCCTTCCCTTCCCCCAACCAGCATTTGTTCTCAAAAAGTCAAACCCAATCCCTCCCAAGTTACATTCTAACAGTATTACCAGAATACAAACTGTAATTAACAACGTCCCATTACTTCTATATCACCAGGATTTATGTATGCTACCCTCAGTGATGGTCAACAGTAAAACTGTCCAGCTGGCACATTTATTGTATGTATACTACAAGCAGACAGTGTACATTTAGTAGAGTAAATGTTCAAAACCTGAAATAGTACAGCGAAATACTGTCAGCAATAAATTTAGTTTCGTAAGAATTACATATGCTTTGAATACTTAGAAGTTCTGCCATAAGCCTGTTTAAAGCCAGAAACTTTTAAAAAAAGAGAACTTTAAAAAATAGATTTTCTTGTTGCTGCACTTCATCTGATACATCATCTCCATTACAAAAATGAAAAGCTTACAGTGTAAAGAATCACTTTTAACTTAACCACGATTTGGTTCATGACTGAGTAAAGATCTGACCTAAGATTTTGGTAGTTGTTTTACACTGGAAGTAATGTTTCACAAAGCACCCTCCTGTTCCAAATCTGCTGCTGGTTTATTATGGAAGTAATATGGAAACATAGTTTCTGATTTTTTTACCTCTTTAAGGTCTCTGAACCCAGACACTTAACCGCCTGAAACACCGATGAAAGAGGAATCAAGTTTGTAGCTTCACAATTCTGTTAAAAATCTTATGTGACTTCACTAGAAAACTGCATCAGTTTTCATTGTAAGAAGCGTGGCCTCAGCTGATGAAAATCAGTGTAGCCAAACAGAAGTCAACACAGGTTAGCTAATTCACGCCAGCCAAGAACCTGATCTGCTTGGAATATCTTTTATTGTGACAAAACTTAAATTTACAATAGTACAGACTTACTAGCAAACGAAGAATCTGCATTTTCTAAACATAATCTAATGGTGAGCAGTATCAACTGAATCATACTAGAGCTCAGATCTGCAGCTACTGTAAATTGTTCTAGCACCAATGGCTTTCAGTTTGTTAGGCCAATCATGCAGTGCTGATGAGCTAGCCCTACAAGTCGGCATCACAACCAGATGCCAAAAAAATCTCCAATTCTTTTACCAAAGTCAGTCATCTCACTAAAGAACAAAGCCTTAGGACCATCTGTTTTTCATTTAGGCCGACAACCTGAAGAAGTCCTTAAAAGAGAGAGATTAATCATAATTACAGTAATATTGGTCAGCCCTGCCCGCTCCCGTTTGTTGAAAAGAAGTTTCTGCTATCTCAACAGTTAGCTCTAGTGAAAATAATTAAAAAAAACCCCAACAAATAACCCCTCCAAAAGAATAGAAGAAACACAATGCCCATTCAGTCATTAAATCCTGTGCAGACACAACTCTGCTGTCACATCTCATTTTCTATTAAAAAAAACCCCAAAACAAAACATAAAAAGAGCTACTTTTCCCTATGTAATAAAACTTCATGACTGTAGAAGACATACATCTCTTCCATCTCTTTTTTCAAGATTTCGGTGTGTGTGCTTTTTATTTTCCATCTGCTGATATCATGTACACCCAGCAGTTCATCACTGACAAGGTAGTTTATTGTATTAGTTTCTTCTATGATGTTTTTTGCTGAACACTTGTGATTCGTTTTCCATGTATCCCTACCTGCAGCCACCCTTCCCGGCAGGAATCTACATTTGTTACATAAGCATTTGCCTTCCAAACCTACTCCCTATTCCCATCACTTCACCTCTGACCTTTTCACCTACCTTCACCCAACCAGATGGAAAAAAGTCTTTAGTGATCAGTATTCTGGTGCATCGCTAAGATCTTTCTAAGTGTTATTAGACCTGGAAAACACACATTTACACTGAGTGCTACATCTCTTCCTCTCTCTACATAGCCTGGATTAAGCTTAGAGAAAAGTTTTAATGCCTTTCATAAAAAGACATGTTTTTCAATATAAAAAGCTTAAACTCATAGATTATAAATAATATAATTTCAAAATATTTAACGAATTTTAGGACTTCATTTGCATTTCAGGGGAACTGCAAGCTTAATGTCCTTGATGCCTTCTCAGTCCCAAACCTTTGATAAAGAAGGATTTGTAGGATATACAATAGGTAGAAATACACAGAACATGCCCTGTGTCCTGTACACCGATTACAATAGGTGACTTAAGAACCAAGCGACTTTACCAGACAAGTTACAATACTGCTTCAGCATTGCCCTGATAAAGTTACCATCTTTTTTCATGTATACAACTACATGTATTTTGACATTGTCAGTTAAAAACATTACTGAAAACAGTATGAGCAAGGGTTTTTTCCCACTACATATGACATTAACAAGTTGTGCCACATTTTTCAGACCTGATTTTAAAAGCATGTTTTTGCATTTCAGATATTTGCCACAGATTTTATATACATAAAAAATTGTTTGTTCATGTGTTAAGTTACAAAATTGTAGTGCTTAATATAATAAACATAAAAATCTAAGATCTTTTAAAAAATGCTTGTTTATAATACATTGTTTTGTTTTTAAAAGGCAGCAGTCAGTACCAGTCTGGTTTATTTTGCAACAATATTGTAGTGTAAAAATGTTGCTAAACCATTCTGGTACTTTCAGATTGGAAGTATTTGTTTTCCGAAAACTATACAGTAATATACTGAAAAAAGAAACTGCAATAGTACTGTTTGTGCCTTTACAAATACATAATGAGAACTATTATGGCTGATATGGATCAGATTTAATCTGTATTCCATAGAGCACAGTTAGTTACTAAGAATGAAAAAAAGATTTTTAAAGCTTAAGTAAGTTGATAAAAAAAGCTTCTGATACTATTGTCATAAACATAGTAATAAAACTGCTCTCATGGTCTGATGCTGTGCATGCTTTTTGAACGAAGTGACTTAGTAGTTAGCTTTTGTGATTCATGAAGGGTTTGTGATGTTAATCAATACCTAGGAGATCAGTCAGGGACATGCACAAACATCACCCACTTTCTGTCCTTAAAGTGAAACATTTCTGCCTGGTCTGAAAAGGTAAAGAAGCATACAGATGTGTAAAGTAGTGTGCTTTTTTTTAAAGAGGAAGAAATAGATATGCATATATGTATTTATATATAGATATGTATTTCATATTTAAATTAGTGTCAGTCAAATCCAGGCAGAGATTAAACTGACCATAAAGACGATGTAACAAAAGTCATTACGGCAGTAAGTTGTATTTCTTGAGGATTTTCAGATATTCTACCTATATCTCAAGAGGAAAAAGAAATGTTGAATTGCATTGTAGGCCCAATCAGCACTGAATGATTACAGCCAGGTAAGGAAGGGCTCATTTTTGTTGAGTACTGACTCCACGTCGTTGAGAATAGGGATCAAGTCTTCTGACTCTAGAGTCCCAAGATCAACATTTGTTCCTGGAAGACAGTCGAGGAAATCAGGGAAACGTGTTTGTTGTGGATTTATGTTCATTGTTGTTTGTGCTATAGTTTCTCCTAGAAAAAGTAAAGAACTTTTGAAATACCAAACTCTTCTTGTGGGTAATTAAAACAATACAATTGATATAAAAATTAGAATCCCCCTTTCCTATAAGCACTTGTGAGCATTCCTATCCTCTACAAACATTACCTCAAAACCATATTTGCTTGCAGAATGCATATTCTTGTAAGAGTTAATTTCATATCCTTGCTTTGCTCTCAAAAGCACAAAAGGCCCTTTCCAGCAGTGTTCCAAAGCAATCAGTCTCTGACCTTCCACTTGGGAAGCATGATTGTTCAAAGTTCACTAGTCTGCACAAGGAGCAATGCAATTGAGTCTTATGTAAACCCTCTGTCCTGCTCTCTGCACAAGGGTGAATGCTGTCCGTGGGGCATAATTGAAAAAAGTGTTTTACAGCAATTTAGCTCTGCGATATTATATTACTTTTTTTATAAATTAATAGTAACAAGCATGAAAACCTTTAATAGAGAAACCTCTCACTCTTTGCACCATCTAGAACTTCTGATGACTTCAAAAGAAAGTTTAGATGAGGAAATGCTGAGAGTGTCACTACCTGCAAAAAGCTTGTTGATTTCCCAGTAATTTATTTCACTATTTTAAACACCATGAGCACACTGCTATAAAAATAAATACATACCAAAACCTAAATTAGCTAAATACATTCTGTTTGAAGCCAAATCCAACTAATTAATGAAACTGATTTCCCAGAGTTAGAAAACGCAGTGATTTGTACCAAGAACGTAACCCAAGACCAGATTTTCACTCCTTCTACCTTGGACTATGGTATGAAAACACAAATTAAGGCTCACATTTTTCAACTTTTACTTATTTTGTTTAGTATTAGTCTAAGGTAAAAGGGTAGTGTCTGGACCCAAGTTAAAGCTGAGAACTTTCTAGGCACTAAGTACCTTTCAGGCATTTTCCCCCACAGTCTCAGTCTATTCTCTTGCATAGGAAAGTGAGAGATTATCGTTCAGTTATGCAATTATAAAACATTAAGTTATAAAGCAAAGTTATTAATATCATTGTACTTTAAGCTAAGTCAGAGTATTCTACCTGTATCCATCTCATCTACGTTGCTGAGGAAATCTTCAGGTGTCGTTGGTATACTGTAGCATCCTAATCCCAAGCCACTGTCTGTACTCTGTTCCCTGGAATGGTATGGCCCACTGTAAATTGAAACATGAAAAAGCCTCAGGAAAGATGTTCTGTTAGATACAGCCCCTGATCATGGTGTTTGAAAAAAGACAGCACAGTAGGTTAAATATTGAAGTTAAATACTGAGTCATTAAGCCTCATTCTCAACCGTTCGCCACTAATGTGGTCATGTTACATCAGCTCAAATATAAAGTAACTGAAGCGAGGCCACTCTTAAATTTTGACATACACACATGTATATATATCAATCTCTAGACATAAACAGTTCCGAGAGCCCAAAAAACCTGAGTCTATTTCTACTTGGGTAATGTACCTATTCTACCTAGAGTCTTCTACATACACCTATAATACAACTAAAACCACCTGTTACCGTTTGTTTGATTTTTCTAAGATTCCTTCTTGAAGTATAAACTGAAAGATTTCAGGTCAGCTACTTGGCCATACCCCCTGTTCACAGCATGTACAAAAGCAGATGATATAGGAAACTACTTTAGAGAGACAGCTTTAAAAGTGTAGAGGAGGCAACAGAACCAATTGCCTACTGAAGAGGACATGAACTTGCCTGTTCAAGAAAGGATCGGATCCATTATTTGTAACAGGCCTCATGTCTTGCGTCATGGCAGGCGTATTCACAGCTGTCTGAACTGGGGCCATGTTTTCCGAGTCCATGGGAAGTTGTCTGCACAGAGCAGCTTCCTGAAAAGGCAAATAAATGTAAGGGAAGGATTATTCCAACAGCTCAGAACTACTGCAGTCTTGTAACAAGCGAACAAGTAACATACACACATCATCTTATTTAGGAAAGTAATTCTAAACAATTTTGTTTACACTGTAAGCTATTTGTTTACACTGGTGTGAAGAAAATTGTAATGTAGACAGAAAGCATCTTCTATACCCGCCTGTGCTGGCTTAAACCACTGCAGAATCTACCTTTCAGTTACTACCACAGCTGGAAGCCAGTCCCGTAATTCAGCCAGCAGGCAGATGTGTTTGAGGACTTTCTAATCAGCTTCATACTAAACTAGAGAGCCTCTTTGCCTGTTTAAACTAGCCTCACTCTTTTTGCGTGATGCAGATCACGAAATGCTCATATAAATGGCTTTACTGGCAGAGCTGCCACATTGGCAACCTCTAGTGAGGGCCAGTGGCAGACAGCCAGGGGAAAGTCAAACCTTGAACAAGCACAACTACCTGCAGAACGACTGCACCTCTACAGCCTTGCTGGCCACAGATATAATCCCTACAAAATCAAATTACCTACGTTATAACTTTGGACAACTTGTGTGTCACCTCATCATAAAACACTGATAGGCCTGCACATTACAACTGATTACTGACAGCCTATCCACACTTCATGGGCCAGCTAAGGGTTGAGGGTCTTCACAGGCATACTAGAGCTGTGTAACACCCAAATTACAATTTCAGTTTACTGTTCAGTGAGGCCAAGTTCTCACTCTGAGAGCTGGAGTAGCAACAATAAAGCAGTTTAAAACCTACAGACTCAAATTTAATCTCCCATGTATCTGTTTCTAACAGCTTACCTTAAGTGAAATTGCTCTCAGTTTAAACTGGTGCAAAAGAGAGCAAAATCAGGCACTGAAAATATGTGAGTTGCTACTAGATGATATGATTTGCCACATACCAAAGCAGAAGAATATCACTTGCAACCATAAAGTACTTAACATGTTAGAAGAAAACCACTGGAACCAAGACTTTGACCCAATAATCTTTAGAATGAACCCTCTGCCTAATAATAAGCATCTGCCTAATGACCTGTCTCATGACACTGTCTTTAGGATGACAAATGAGCAATGAGAGCCAAAGGAAACTTGTTTCAGAACTCTTCCTGACAGATAAATTCTTCTAGCATTAGCTCTGTGAAACAACCATGACATCTAGTGGTACAGAGGTCCATAACAAAGGTTGTTTGGCTCCACGGGGATGTTCCAAACAAATATCCTAAGACCTTAAAATAATAAAGCTGTATCTGTTTTTTACCTAGTTTACTCAACCTTATTATTATTTTTTTTATGAAGTAAGCAAAGGAAATATTTCATTTAAATCCTAGTAGAAAACTTTTCTCCACTGAATCAGTCATTCATTCTCCCAAGGACAGAAAAGATTAACATGTTTTTGAGACTAGAATATGTTGTTTTACTATGTTTTCAATTGATTTCTTCCTTGAGAAGGACCGGTCTGGTCTCTTCATGAATCATGTAACAGTTATTCATTGGGAATTAACCTATATTGGTGCCCATTAATGCAATGTTTCCTTTATAATCAAATTATCAATATATTCACTGATAGATAATAATTTACATTAGATGGTGTCATTATTTAGTAAGTGTTAAGAATAAATAGTCTGAAGATTCTTAATAGCTTATGTATGATAGCTTATGTATGTCATTACATTTGTCAAGTGAAATTCTAATGGTGATGTTTCTATTTATAATTAAATCAGCTGGAGTCTGTGAAAATGTACAAACCTCAGGAAATGGGCAGACTGGTTTTCTGAACTGTCTACATGAAGATATTGAAAGTATTTTTTTAAATGTAAGAATAGCAACTGCAGCAACAACAAGCAAGGCTAATACTAGAAATCAGCCAGAAAGAAAAAGAGAAAAGACAGCCAGAAAGAAAGAAATACAGAAAGAGAAAGGAAGAGAGAAGAAAAGGAAGACAGATAAAATGAGGCAGGATATACTCAGCTAGGATCTTTTTTTGTTAAAGCCCAATCCAGCAATGAAGTTCTTGTTTTTGATACTTGGGCAGTGCATTTTCAAATCTCACTGGATGTTGTTCCACACTGATAAAGATAAGATCAGAACAGGGGAAAAAAAAAAGCAAAAAAAAAAAAGCCTTTCCCTTAGTTTGCCAACACGGAAAATACGTTATCATTCTGGCTGCTGTAATTTCTAAAAATCAAATGCTATTACTAAAAATAAAGTAACTGACAACATCCTGTTCAAGATCCAAGTATTTGCCTCTTTCAGAGTATTTTGACTAAGTCCTAATTTGATGGAAATTATTTCTCTTTGCTACTTTGCACATGTGTTTGTGCACTGAAAATATTGCCCCAATACCACCCTTTTTTACTGTAAGGGTGATCGAACATTAGAACAGGTTTCTCAGAGAGGTTGTGGAGTCTCCATCCTTGGAGATACTTAAAACCTGACTGGATGCAGCCCTGACCAACCCCTGCTGTAGTTGATCCTGCTTTGAGCAGGGGAGTTGGACTAGACAATCTCTAGAGGTCCCTTCCAACCTCAACTATCCTGTGACTCTATGAATCAAAGAATGACCATGTGCATACATACATCCTTCTCTACAAGATTTTGCTCTTCTGTTTTGGACAATCTTAGTAATTTCTTGCCAGCTGTCATGCCATCTTTTTTCAATTATCAGACTGAAATTCAACTGTATTGCTCAATACAACTGCATTGTATCAAACATAAGCCTGAAAATTTGTTGCCTGTAGGAGGTGGTGGAAAAGCTTTTCTGTATCCAGCAACTTCTCAATGGATCATATAGTACAAATCAGTGTCTCAACTTGTTGGGGACTGTTTATATGTGTGTTGGGGGGGTAGGGGAGAGCTTGCCAAGCTCCCTGCTCATTAAAGAGAAAAACTGAACTAAAAATTTGCTGCCCAGAAAAATATTAAAGCTGAAAAGTTGATAATAATGATTAACCAGAGATGACAAAGGCTAACAACCAACTGTTCGACCAGAGTGCAGTGCCAAAGAAAATCTATGAAGGAAAAGTCATGCACCTGTAGAGAAGAAAGGCCATTATCTAAGAGTGTATTTGTTGACAATTAGTAGGTGGATTCACAGCAAGAGTTTTGAAACTCTTTTGACTAAAAATGCCAGATACCTAGCAGGGATGATAGTCTAGCGCCTTGCGTTTTCACAACAGGTAATGACGTATTGACAGCCTAAAGTTCTATCCGAGTAATTAATTTCACATAATTGTTCTCACTATACTGCCAAAGACAGCTTATTTCTGAGACTAGTAAATTCTACTACTTTGAAAAGACTTGTATTCACTCCACTGCTTTCCACAGCCATTGTAGAAGTACTGTATTTAAGACAAAAGATGTGCACGAAGAAAGTGAGGAAAGGTTTCTAAACAACACTGAAAAATCTACAATTCCATGGAATTGTTTTTAAACATAGAAAAAGATAAATCTCTTCTTTATGGAACACATTCAATTAAATGATCACAGGAAACATGACGCTATTCTCACTCTTCATGTCGTGCCTTCTTCCTTTGAGCTCATTACAGAAGCACAAACACACCTCTCCTCTCTTAAGTCCATGATTCCTCTGGTAGCTTTCCAAAACAGCGAAACACAAAGCACTAGTAGAGATTTCTGAACCAACTCTTAAAAAATGCAGTTGCACATAAAATCAAAGTACATTGCAAAAAACACAGTGTTCACAAAGGGAGTTTCACATCTTTAATCCTCCATGAAATAAATATTCTTCCTCTCACACTGAACTGCACAGAAATAGCCAAGAATTTCCTTACAGCTTTTCATTTCTTTTACAGACTGACTCAAAAAATGCCCAGCTGAATAAACAACACTGAAAAGAGCTGAGAATTTCTTACATCTACTGCTGTTGGCTTGTTCCATCTGGCAAAAACAACCAACCAAAACTGTACCTGTATTACCTAAATTTAGGTTAATACAGATACACAGGCTGCGGTTTAAGGACACTCCTCCCAGAACAGCTTAAGTTCCAAGATGAGGCTTACCTAACACGGGGTAAGCCACTCAACTCCAAGGTCAGTACGTTTTTCTGAGTGCTGAAAGCCCTGGGCACAATGTGCAAACTCTTTATTGCATAGCAGTGTAACTGCTCTGAGCATGCTTAGGAAATCCAGTTCTAACCTCTAGTTGTTTCATGTTACACTAGAAGAACTTTCTGATAATGCAATGTCTGTGCCACTTCAATAAACAGCCACAACTGTGCTTGGGACGACTAATTGTAGCTAACAGGAGCAAAGTGACAACAGAACAGGTTTTATTGTAGGTTAGATGCCCAAGTGTGTGCCACAGGCAAGCTTGTATAGGCCAAGCTGAAACCTGCGCTACTTCAGTGTCACAGTTACTGGCCTTCCAACCTCAGGTTTGCCTATACTTGCCGCAACCATACCTTCTTTCTACAGAAGCTTCTGAAGCACTGCCTTCCTCCAGAAAGACACAAAGATTTTTCTCTATCATATCTTAAGGGGGAAAACCCTAAACCACCAGTAACTTCTGTAAGTTACTCCCTGTTTCCATGGTAATTTAGTTTCCAAAAGTAGCTCAGAATAGACTATTAACAAAGTAAGAAAAAGGGCTCCCAGACTACATTACTGCTATCCATCAGGCTGTTTATCTTATGGTCAGTAAGAGGAACAGTCAGCCATTTGAGAAGGATTTTTGTTGAACTTGAAGGTTTTTCACTGAACTGCCTTCCACCAATAGGAAAGCATTGCAAAATGGCCATTCTTTCCAGGGCACTGGACTTACTGCTCCTGCACAAAGTGCTATGAATTTCGCACGTATTTGCAGACCTTAATGCCGGCTGGCTGTTTTCTGTCCTGCAGCCGACCTATGCAATCAGGAAATTCAGATAGTGATCTCTTTGGAAAACATGGTGCCAACTATTGCTTGGTCCAACAAGGAGAGGTTCATACCCAGGTTTAT